CCCGCTTCCCTCCAAGGGGCCCCGGTGAGGACAGCCAGGCGCCGGGGCAGTAGACTCATCTCACGGTGATTCAATAAAATTTAAAAAAAAGTTGCATTGCTTAAAAAAAAAAGTCTCACAAGGGGGGAGATTGCAAGGAGTGTCTGACAGGCAGATGCAAAATCTGCAGCGAAATGGGAGATCCGGGACCCCTGGAGGATGCTGTGCATCTCGGTCTCACTCTACGTCTTTCTTGAACCTTGAGAAAACGCCCGACAGGCTATGCTTAAGGGTTGCAGACACCCGCCCTCGCCGCGTGGATCCCGTGTCTCTGAGCCCGCGTGTTGGGTCACTGCCCACGTCTGAAGCCGTTTCCTGGGCGTCGGAGATGAAGCAAACAGCTGCTTGGGGCTCCAGTGGGCAGATCCGTTTCCGGGGTCTTCCTAGCTGAGTTTCTCTGCTCCAGCCAGAGGGGCCGAGGGGGCATGGGGACCATTTGATCTCGGGGGAGCGAGAACGGTGAGGGGTGTTCGTGGTGGGGAGGGGGTCCGAGGCCCCCGTCCGGCCTTCGAGAACCAAGCGGATATTCCTAGGGGGTCTGGCCGGGTTGTTCCCCTGCCCACAGCGTGGCTCTTTGCTCTGAGGTTCTGCGGCATCTGAGGCCGGCCGGGGGCCACGGCAACGGAGGAGCGTCTAAATCCGTCTCCCAAGCGGCTCTCACTTTTGTTCCAGCACAATGCGGCTGCTATTTGTAAACTGCTTCCGACCCTCAGCGCCCAGAACGATTGTGTTTTCGGGGTATTGTGGCATTGTGCGGGGCTCAATAGCCACGGAGGGAAACGGTGGGGGCGGGGCGGGCCAATGGAAACCCGGCAAATCGCGCCCAGGCCGGCCAGTCACCGAGGAGGAGTCCCCGGCTGCCACTCGCTGGGGCTCGGGCCTGGGCTCATTCCCAGACAGCAGGTGCTGGAACAATGAGGCTGACCTCCCCTGCACCTGAGCAGCCGAGCGCCCGTTTGGGAAAAAAACAGGATAATCCTTAACAAAAACAAGCATCCTGCCTCGGGCCGGTTCCGCTTCCACTTTATTTTTTTTTCTCACACTGGACGGTTTTATTTATAGCCCAGAAAGGCGGCTTAGGAGAAACCGAAGCACACCCGTGCACGGACACACACACACACACACACACACACACACACACACTTCCCCGTGGAAGTGATGCGTGTTTGACGTCAGCTCGCAGGGTGTCTGGATAATCTCTGACCCCTGGAACGGGGCCGAGAAAGCCACGCTGACGGTGTTCACAGCCCGGCCGCTTGGCCTGGCACGGCGTCTGCAGGGCCACACGGAGGACGACTCATTTCCAGTCCCGGCGGCCCTGGGGATGTTATTGTCACAGAGGCCAAGGTTCCCAGGCCGCGGTCCCCGGGGTTGGCACAGACTCTCAGCCCTCGGGAATGACTGTGTCCCCTGGACTGTCACCACAAGCAGCAACAATGAGCCCCAGAGCACCTGTCGGGCCGGCCCGGGATGGTGTCCACGTGCTCCGGACCCCTCCAGCTATGGCCCTGTCCCGGGACCCAGGCCAGCGGGCGCGGATGTGGGGTCAGCTAGGGACAGTGGACTGCAACGCCCGCCCCAGGGCAGCGACTCGAACGCTGAATGTCCGGGCCAGGCTCTCCTCTTCGGCGTCCAGTGAACACCTGCTCCCCACCCCCGGAGGCCCGTGGGGGCCGTGTCCCCTCAGACCTTGTCACGCGGGGGTGCTGGCTCCCTGCTGGGTGCCCCCCTCTCCCGAGGGCACCTGTGCGTCCCTCTCAACCCCACGGGCCCAGCTGTGGCCTCAAGTTCACAAACCACCTGCTACGAGAGGACGAGACATGCAAAGTGACCACCTGGGGCCCCGCCAACGCGTGAGGGCTGGGGGGAGTGGCCGCATGTCACCCTGGACCCAGCTGGAGGGGGGGGAAACGGCCTTGGGTGCCCCCCACCCCCACACACAGCAGCCGTGAGGCTCGGACCCGCCACTGGCCTCTTTCCTGTCTCCCAGGAGGGGGGGAGGGGGCCGTGCGAGGAGGGCCCAGGGCCAGCTGCAGACTCTGCTCTGGCCAGCCCTGTCGGCCCCTCCCAGGAAAGCCCTGAATCCCTGCTGGGGCCCCAGAGGGGTGGGTGGGGGGCGGGCCACCCAGAGGCCGGTGCTGCCTGCTCGCGCGCCCCCCAGTGGCCGGAACAGGCCCCGCAGGGCTGCTCAAGGTCTGGGTTCCGGAACCCCCACGTCCAGGCTGACGTGAAGACTGGCCCCTTGAAAAAAGGAAATCAGGGGTCCTGGCGACCTCGAGTGTGGGGAGGAAGGCGAGGCCCCCAGAAGCAGACGCCACAGGCCAGGGCAGAGGGGCTGGCCGGCAGGGGGGCAGCAGACTCCCAACCTAGGGGTCGGGACCCTCAGGACCTGGGACAAGGCAGCCACGGTCGGGCAGCTCAGTGGTCAGCATGGATGAGGCCCTGAGAGCCTCAGCCTCGGGGGGGGGGGGTAGCCAGGCTCAGGGGGACCCAGAAGGAGGACTGGGGGTGGGCAGAGGCGGTCGGGAGGAGACGGGCTCAGGAGGAACCCGGCTGTGTGACAGTCCCAGCCACACCCTCAAGAAGGCCAGTTTCAGGCTTCACAGCTGGACGTCCCCAAGCCAGAGCTGCAGGACTCAGCCCAGGCCTGCTGGGGGCTGGCCACTGTCACAGGCGGCTGGCCAGTGTCATGGGGGGACTGGCCAGTGTCATGGGGGGCTGGCCACTGCCACAGGGAGGAACTCAGTAGGAGCAGAAAACCCCCTGGCTGCACCCGCCACCTCCCACCCGATGGTGACCACGGGGCCCTGGTGACCAGCTGGTCTCTGCTGTCTCTGGGGTCCAGGGACCAAACCCAGCGCTGGGCGGTTGACTGTGCCCACTGCTCTGGGCATTCAGGGAGAGCTTCTCACCTGCCGCTTTAGGTCTTCCGCCTTGGAAACGTTTCCTGGCATGACGTGTTTAACCCCCTACAGTCGGAGGTTGGTACCTTCATGCGTGTGGAGGGAGGGTGGTCTCAGCATGGTTGTGGCTGGTTTTGGAGGTCTTCGGCTGCCAGAGCTCTGGTACTGGCAGAGGAACAAAGGCATGCGGGTCCCGGGGCTGAGATCTCCACGCCTGCTCGGATCGGGGCTGAGCATCCTCCACCCAGATCCTCCAAATTCCAGCAGGCAGGGGTCACACCCACCAACTGGCCCCCTGGCGCCGTGTAATCCCATCAGCGGCCAAGACTCAGAGACCATAAAAACTAGCTCCCGGAAGACATCTTATTATCTCATTCCTACTTGGGACAAACTGGCAGGCTACCGAATGTAACTTTGCCCACACGGCAGAGTCTGGCAAACTCCCCGTGGCGTACCCAATATGCCAAATACCAGTAACAATGATGGGTCTCATTCTCCTAAACCTGAAAGAGCCTTGAATGTGGCACTTTTTCAAAAATCTCAGGGCTGGGACAAAGGAGACGTTACTGGGGCCTGCTCGAGGCAATCGACGAACAACAGGATGATCGTGATCGTGACCGTGAGTCGGAGGTCGGGCCCCAGTCCGCGGTGCTCAGGGCTGCTCTGCTGTGCAGGGGTCATGGGTGATGCGAGGGCCATGGCCAGGAACACACGTGGGGCCCAGCACGGACGGCCACCACCTCCCTGACTTCAGCTCAGTCCTGAATCCCCTTCTCGAGTTCCCGTCTGCTTCCTAAGCATCGGCTATGTAAACGCGATGGCCTGTACTGCCACCTTGACACCCAAAGGAGAGAGCGTAGGAGGGAACGTGCCTGCCACAGAGGGGTGGGGGTGGCAGGGAGGAACACGGGGGACACTGGTGGTGGGGAATGGGCACGGGTGGAGGGATGGGTGCTCGAGCATTGGGGTTTTTTTTGTGTCTTTTTTTTGCTTTTTGGGTCACACCTGGCAATGCACAGGGGTTCCTCCTGGCTTTGCACTCAGGAATCACTCCTGGCGGTGCTCGGGGGACCCTATGGATGCCGGGGATCGAACCCTGGTCGGCAGCGTGCAAGGCAAACGCCCCTCCCGCTGTGCTATTGCTGTAGCCCCGCTCGAGCATTGTTTGACTAAAACATAATCCTGAAAGTCTGTAAGTCTGTAACTGTATCTCACGGTGATTCATTAAAATAAAAAAGAAATAAAAATTTAAAATTAAAGTATCGGCCATTTAGAAATGAGACGGGTGGAGGGGGCACTTTGGAACCGTGAGGATTCCGGGCGTGGTGGTGGGCCGATGCCTTCCCCTGCACCGTCTGGAGGAGGTCGCAGACCCCGCACAGCCCGAGGTGTGGCCCTGGCGGTTATTCTCCAGCAGTGGGGACAAGCCCTGCGATCACAGATAAGGAGATTTCCAAGGACCGCCGGCCCAGGTGCCAAGCACACTTGCCTGTGTTGGGCCCAGTCGACCTGACAGCCCAGCTTACAGATGGGTAAACTGAGGCTGCGACCCTGAGGCCCCTCGTCCCCGGCCAAGAAGCTGCAGGTGGGGCTGGAGCGATAGCACAGCGGGGAGGGCGTTTGCCTTGCATGCGGCCGACCCGGGTTCGATTCCCAGCATCCCAATGGTTCCCTGAGCAGTGCCAGGAATAATTCCTGAGTGCATGAGCCAGGAGTGACCCCTGAGCATCTCCGGATGGGACCCAAAAAGCAAAAAAAAAAAAAAAAAAAGAAGAACCTGCAGGTGCGGGGGCCGTGGGGGGCTGCAGAGCCGGCCGGCCTGGGGTCTGCTCGGCCGTTCCCCGCCTCACGTCCCCACCCAGCACCCCCCAGCCTCCCCCCACCCCACGCCGTCTTGGCGTCCCCCGCGGTTGCCGTGGAAACGGCTGCGCAGGCGCGCGGCGCGGGCCGGGCTCTGCGCGTGCGCGGCGTCCCCGTTGCTAGGCGACGCCCCGGCCCGCATCTGGCGCTGCATCCTGGAAGCGCTCGCCCCGCGCTGCTCCGGCGTTGGCGAGGGAGGGAGAGTCCGAGCGGGCCCACTGCGGCCTGGACGCCCGAGTGACCAGCCATGTCCAACGCGTGAGTGACCGGCTGCGGCCCCGGCCCGCGCCCCGCCCTGCCCCCCTCACTCCCGCCTTGGGGCTGTGTTCAAGTTTCAGCAGCTGGAGGAGTTTCAGGCTCGGCTCCTGGTCCCCCGAGGGTCAGAGGTCAGACGCGCGGACCCCTCCCCTGCCCCGGGATGCCGCCTCTGGGGCACAGGCAGCCCCGCGCGGCCCACCGAGGTCTCATTCATTCATTCATTCATTCATCCATTCAGGACGGTGCAGGCCTTGGGGCTAAGTCATCACTGTCCCAGGGGTCAGGACCCCCAGTTTGGTGGTGGTGGTGGGACTCGGGGAGACCCCGGCCCATCCCCGCTAACTGCCGGGCATCGCGGTCCTTCGTGTGACCTTCAGGGGGGCTCACTGGGGTCTGCGGAAGCGCCCTGTGCAGAGGAGGGGGCCGAGGAGGGGCCCCGGGGACACCCCACCCCCCACCCCACGACAGGCCTCCCTGCCACCCATCTTCAGAGCGAGCACTGGTGGTTGGCAGGGGCACTCGGGAAGCTGTGGGGGTGCCCGCAGGGGTCTAGGAAGTGGAGCTGGGGCGTGGGGGCGTGTCCCCACCCGCAGAGGCTAGATCAAAGGAACGAAGAATGTTCTGGAAGTGGCTCGCCGACCACGGAGACCCTCTGGTGGCCTCACCGTCCTTTTGGCCACCGGGAAGGCTCAGGGCATGCATGGGTGGGCGGCAGGTGCTGGGCTGCCCTGCGGCTGGTGGGTGTCCCGGAGAGGCCCGGCAGGGCTGGCACTCATGCTGGTGATTCCTCCCACCTGGCCAGGTCTGTGGCAGACTCAGCCGGGGTGCGGGTCAGTCTGCACCCCAGTGCAGGGCCCCTGGTGGACGGGCCACTCAGCATCTGCCTGGGCTGCGGCTTGGCCACAGTGTCATTCCACCAGGATTTTGTTTGGGCTTTTAAGCAACGCCTGACAGTGCTCAGGGAGCACCCTGTTGGAGCTTGGGGGGCCTTATGGGGTGTTGGGGCTCAAATCGGGCCGACAGCGTGCGAGCCGTTGCCTGACCCTGGCCCATCTGTCCTGCGGGGGCTTCTGAGACCCCTCCAGCTCTGCCGTGTCCTGCTCCTCGGCCACTGATGGACAGGCCCCATTCTCAGTGTCCGGCTGCTGGGCACACACCCAGTCTCTGGCCATCAGCGTTTCGAAGTGCCGCCTCCTTGCCTGGTTTCTGTGCAGGGGTCAGTGGTCTGACGCGGCTTGTGCAGGTAGCTGTCCACCGTCTACCACCTGGCCTGGATTCTGCCCCCTCAGAGGCACTGGCCCTCTTGGTCTGGCTGGGGGACCCTTGGCTAAGTGGAGACGTCAAGCTAGAAACAGAAGTGACCTGTGACTCCTCCCGCAACGCTGTCCCGGCCGGTGGAGGACGACACCTCACTGGGTGGCCAAGGGACAAACTGAGCTCAGGGGGAATGTGCCGCTGGGACCTCCCACCCAGGAGGACGTCCAGGCGTTGGTAAGCCAGTGACGTGCATGGCGTCCTCGTGCCCTTGTTGGTGTGGGACCATGCTCAGAGCTGGGCAGGGCAGCTGACAGCCAGGTTCCTGCCTCCCTGGCCTCTAGCTGCCCCCTCCCCTCCCCTGCTTGCTTGTCTTTGAGGTGAGACCCCCAGAGTTGTCAGGATACCCCAGATGCCCGGGCAGATGGGGAATTCAGCTTCGTTGCGGTTGTTCTTTCATGCACTCGTCCCTGGCCAACGGCCTGGTTTATTCCAGAGGGAGGTGCCCAGTGGGATTCTGGCTCTCCGATGTGTTTGACAGAGTTTTTCCTTGCACTGGCAATGTGTGTTTTTACGTCCTGCTAAGTTTGGAGGAATCTGGACTTGCACCCAGTGGACGGGGGCCCAGAGGCCAGATTCTGGAGCTACACCTGGGCAGTGCGCGGGAAGAGGAGGCAAAGGCCATTTTGGTTCTGGATCTTTCTTCCCTGAGCCCCATCACATCCGTGCCACGGTCAGTATCCGCCGCATGAGCTCCGGAGTCAGGATGCCGGGGTGAAATCTCATCCCTCCGTCAGGGCGATTGTTGGATAACGCTTTGCTACTCCCGCAGGGAGCTTAAGGTCTATTGAGCCACTCCGACAACAGAGCCACTGAGGCACAACCAATAATCCTGTCTTGCTTTTCTCTTTCCTTTATGCCAGTTGTAGGGTTTATTTAGCAATGTCCCTGACTTCTCCAGGCCTCAGTTTTCTCATCTGTAGACTGGAGTAATAATAGTAACAACCAACTCTGAGTTGTTAAAGATTAGGACTTAACGTATATAAAGTGCTGGGAACAGTGACTGACATGACATGAAAGCAAACAGTTACCACCACCACCAACGCCTTCATCGGCATCGCCACCACAGCCTTCACTGTCATTACTGCCGTGGTGACCACTTTTACCCCCACCCCCACCATCACCATCACCATCAGTATCAGTAGCAGTATCACCGCCACCATCACTCCATCAGCACCACCATCAACACCACCACCACCAGCAGCACCGCTGCCACTCCCGTCAGCACCACCATCACCACTTTCACCACCGTCACCATCATCTCCATCACTGTCACCACCACCATCACCATCAGTATCACCACCACCATCACTCCCATCAGCACCACCATCACCACCATCAGTATCAGTATCAGTATCACCGCCACCATCACTCCCATCAGCACCACCATCACCACCATCACTATCAGTATCAGTATCGCCAGCATCATCACTCCCATCAGCACCACTGTCACTCCCATCAGCACCACCATCACCATCAGTATCAGTATCAGTATTGCCGCCAACATCACTCCCATCAGCACCACCATCGGCACCTTCACCACCGTCACCATCATCTCCATCACTGTCACCACCACCATCACTCCCATCAGCACCACCATCACCACCATCACTATCAGTATCAGTATCGCCAGCATCATCACTCCCATCAGCACCACTGTCACTCCCATCAGCACCACCATCACCATCAGTATCAGTATCAGTATCACCGCCACCATCACTCCCATCAGCACCACCATCACCACCATCAGTATCAGTATCAGTATCGCCAGCATCATCACTCCCATCAGCACCACTGTCACTCCCATCAGCACCACCATCACCATCAGTATCAGTATCAGTATTGCCGCCAACATCACTCCCATCAGCACCACCATCAGCACCTTCACCACCGTCACCATCATTTCCATCACTGTCACCACCACCATCACCTCAGCGCCGCCAGCAGCGAGGGTCCGCCTGACGCAGGCAGGCCCCGGTGCAGGCAGGCAGGCACACTGTGTGTGCTGGCATTTCTGCCTGTGTGGGAACAGGACTCGCTGGGGGGACTGAGGCAGAACCCCGGGATCCCCATGGGAATCAGGGCAGGCCTGAACTTCCCCACTGGGAAACAAGAAAACCTGAGTCAGTCTTCACAAGTCCAGCTGCAGAAGGAGCCAAAACCCCGGTCCAAAATCTCAGCGACCACAGCCGTCGCCGGAACCCCAGCCAGAATCCTCCTCTGCGTCTCTGACCAGTGAATCCCCCGTTTGTTAAGAACTGAAGCCTGTTCTCAGCCCCTTAGAAACAAGAAACAAAGGATGCTTCCAAAGACATTTTTTGAAGCCAGTGTTGCATTGATAACCCATCCAAACTAGGAAGTCACGTGAAAAACGAGGGCACGAAGCGATCTCTGATGCATGTAAATGCGAACATTCAGCAAAATTTCAGGAACTCAGATTTCCCCCTGCATTACAAGGCCCACGCATCATGATATCGGGGTGGGGGGTGGGGGGTGGGGAGGGGGGTTAGTCCGGAGAGATCGGGAGGCTCGAAAATACCAAATCTATCAGCACACGACGCTACTGCAATTACCCGGTGCCAATAAAAGAATTGATATCAGAGGGTGTCGATAGATGCTGAGAGAGCGTTTCCTGAGACTCACACACATTTATGATTAAAAACCCTCAACAGAGAAGGGACGGAAGGGGCAGAGCTCAGCAGAACACAGGCCAGCTAGTTGAAACATCCAGCTAATACCCTACTCCGTGGTGAAATAAAAAATCCTCCTTTTCAATGAGGAAGAAGACAGGGTTGTACACTCTCACTCCTTGTGTTTAACTTGGCGTTAGAGGTCTCAGCCTGAGCAGTTGCACGGCAAAAGGAGAGACAGGAAATCGAGAGGGAAAAGTAAAAAGTGAATCTTCCATGATTTGCAGATAATATGATGGTGTGTGTATGTAGGTCCCAGCAAAGCAATTAGAAACGAGTACAGCAAAGTGGCTGATGACAGAATCGGTGTATAAAAAAATCTGTTTCATTGCCCTACGCACAAAATGACACTTGGAAAAAAGGAAGAGACAGTTTTAGTTATAATTACATCCAAAAGAACTAAATACTTAGAAATGAGTTTAGCAGAGAAGCTTGTTTTGTTTTTGCATTTTACTTGTCAGATGCTAAGTCGTCTCTGCTGTGGAGAGATTGCCAAGCTCTCTCACGGGCAGAGCCTGGCAAGCTCCCCGTGGCATATTCGAGATGCCAAATACAGTAACGACAGCAGGTCTCGTTCCCTTGACCCTGAAAGAGCCGCCACTCGTTGGGAAAAGACGAGTAAGAAAAGGCTGCTAAAATCTCAGTGCTGGGAAGAATAGAGACGTTACTGGCACCCACTTGAAGGAATTCGCCGATCAACGATCAAAGGGGCTGACAGTGATCCAGTGATACTTGTCAAATAAATTTAACAAAGACTGGTGTAATTACTTTGACAAGATATTGTTCAAAGATCTAGGCCAAGCCATGAGAAGAGTTAGAGCGCTTCCCGCCGTGGGTGGGAGAATGATGAATTCAGACTGTTCATCTCACCGAATCCCTTATCTAGATTCAGTGTAATCTCATTTCAATGAACTGCCTCGAGGAAATGGAACAGAAACGCTAAAGGTTTCCATGGAATCACAAAGGGCTTGACTAGTAAAACAATTCCCAAAGAACAGAGAAGAAAAAAAGGAAGGCACGTGTCACCTGACTTCCCAGGGTGTTATGAAGTGACAGCGATTCAAACGGCGCTTCAGTGGCTGTCCCTGCCAGAATAAATATAGACCCTTGAGGTGATGGAACAGAACTGAAGAGCCGGACGTGGGCTCTGAGATTCAGGGTCCAAGACTTCGTTGGAGACAGGGAAATCCGATGGTCAGTGAAGGTGGGGAGATGGGGTGTTCGCAGCCACCCAAGAATGCAACTGTTCTCTCTAAACCCCTCAGACACGCGGGGAAACACAGTCACTGCCTAATTGCAGCTCCCCAGACCACAGAGTACGCAGAAGAAAACTTGTGTGAAACATTTCTGGAGATCAACGTTACAGGGGCCTCTGGGGATTCCGCCCTAACTGCAAATGAATGCAAAAACGGGGGCCGGAGAGAGTACGACGGGTAGGGTGCTTGCCAGGTTTGATCCCTGGCACTGCATGGGGTCCCCTCGACCCCACCAGGAGCGATCCCTGAGCACAGACCGAGGAGTAAGCCCTGAGCAGTGCCAGACATGACCTAAAATCCAAACAAAGTAACTAACAAACAGAAAACATACAATATATATTTATATATTTAACTCACATTGAATATAAATATTAAATACATATTATGAATATTAAATACATATATCTATTTGGGATGGAGTGATAGCGTAGTGGGTAGGGCATTTGCCTTGCACGTGGCCAACCCTAATTCAGTTCCTCCGTCCCTCTTGGAGAGCCCGGCAAGCTACCAAGAGTATCCCACCCGCACGGCAGAGCCTGGCAAGCTCCTCATGGTGTAATCAGTATGCCAAAAACAGTAACAAGTCTTACAATGGAGACGTTACTGGTGCCCCCTTGAGGAAATCGATGAACAATGGGAGGACAGTGCTCCGGTGCTTTGGGTCACACCCAGCGACACACAGGAGTTACTCTTGGCTCTGCACTCAGGAATTACCCCTGGAGGTGCTCAGGGGACCCTATGGGATGCTGGGAATTGAACCCAGGTCAGCCGTGTGCAAGGCAAACGTCCTCCCTGCTGTGCTATCACTCCAGTCCCTAAAATAAAATTTTAAAAGAAAAATATAAACAAAACCGGGGAAGGAAATGGGAGGAGATATTTGTGCCCCAGCATCTGGCAAGGGGTGACGGTACAGGGGCCGCCGGGAGAGACAGCCTGGAGACCCCGCGTGTACGAGGGTGTAAACTCGCTCCATCAGGGGCCCGTGCTGAAGGGCAGCCCGGAGCCATGCCCATGCCCCCATGCCCTGTGGGAGAGGCTGGCCATGCTAGGGGGCCCTCAGGCCAGTGGGGAGGGTCAGGATCTGGGCTCCATCCCCGAGACCCCATAGAGTCCCCCGAGTCTCACTAGGAGGGATCGAGGGATCCCGAGCACTGAGCCAGGGGTCATCCCTGAGCACTGCCAGGAGTGAGCCACAGCCAAACCCCTCAAAAAAATAAAAGAGGAAAAAAGAAAGAAAGCTCCATGCATGCACCTGACGTTGGTTGCAGCATTGTTTGCTAAAAGGAAGAACAGGGAAGCCCCTGAAGAGTCACTGAGCGATTGGATGGGGCAGGGGGAGTGATCAGCGATTGGACGGGGAGGGCAGGAGTGACGGGGATTGGATGGGGCGGGCGGGAGTGATCGGAGATTGGAAGGGGCGTTTGGGGGGCGTCAGGTCGTGGCTTTGGCACTGGGGCAGCAATGAACCTTAAGTTTTCATCCATCTCTCTGATGCTTTTGTGTTTGGGGGCAGATGTCAAGGAGTGGGGCTACTGCGTCCTAAGGAAGCTTTGTTTGTTGAAAAGGTTCTCTTCGGCCTTCCATGAGGCTGAACAGATGCCGTCCACCCGCAGTGAACGAAAGCCGCTTCCTGCCTTCCCAGAGGTGTTGCCGGGTTCACCTCTCCCCCATCCTGCTCAGCATGTGAGATGATGATGTCTCACCTTAATTCTAATGTGCATTTCTCCGTGTCTCACCTTCATTCTGAGGTGCATTTCCTTGTGTCTCACCTTCATTCTGATGTGCATTTCCCTGTGTCTCACCTTCATTCTGAGGTGCATTTCCCCTGTGTCTCACCTTCATTCTGAGGTGCATTTCCCTGTGTCTCATCTTCATTCTGAGGTGCATTTCCTTGTGTCTCACCTTCATTCTGATGTGCATTTCCCTGTGTCTCATCTAACATATGATTTGCATTTCTCTGTTCATACGTGCTGAGGAGCACATTTCACCTGCTGACTGGCGTCTGTCTGAATATCCTCTCCGAGGGTCTCTTCATCTTCTCTCCCTATTTTTGTTTTGTCTGGGGGGGGGGGGTCACACCTGGCGGTGCTCAGGGCTTCCTCCTGGCTCTACACTCAGGGGTCACTCCTGGTGGCACTTGAGGGGCCATGTGGGGGACGGGCACGGAACCCGGGTTGGCCGCATGTAAGGCGAGTGCCCGCCCGTGGGACTCTCTCTGGCCCCCAGTTGTCAATGGGTCATCGGTTTGCTGTTGTTGGGTTTTGTGAGTGCTTTATCTGCCTTGGATTTTTATTTGGCGTGTGGCGTGGCTGTTCCCCCCATTCAGTCAGGGAGGGCACCTTTTGCGTTTCATGCCAGTTTCTCTTGGCACGTGAGAACTTCTCCGTGTGATGTCCTCCCCTCGGTTTTCTTTCATTCTTATTGTCCTTGCCAGTGGAGTCACATCGGTGAAGACGGAACCGCACCTTCCACCAGAAGGCCACCTCTGACCTCCGCACGTGGAGATCTGCTTCTGGTGCAGCCAGGAATGTGGCGGGTTCTGCTTCTGTTTTACTCAGGTTCTTGGTGCACTCTGTTGCAATCTCCTGGCCTTTGCTCCACTCTGAATTAACTTTCACATATGGTGATACTACCTCCACGGCCCAACCCCCGCCACGCTCCAGGCCACTCTCCAGACCGTGCGACACATCATAAAACACTTCCTACCCATTTTCCATAATTACCACACCATGTTTGATGGGCTTCAGACAGTAGGCAACAAATCATGTCACTGTCACTGTCCTCCCGTTGATCATCGATTTGCTCGAGCGGGCCCAGTAACGTCTCCATTGGAGACTTTGTTGTTACTGTGTCTGGCATATCGAATAGATCACATGTAGCTTGCCAGGCTCTGCCGTGCGGGCGAGATACTCTCGGTAGCTTGCCGGGCTCTCTGAGAGGGGCGGAGGAATCGAACCCGGCTCTGCCAGGCTGGCTGCACACAAGGCAAACGCCCTACCGCTGTGCTATCGCTCCAGCCCGCAACAAATATAGAGAGAAATATATGTGTGCATGCGTGTGTGTGTGTGTGTGTGTGTGCCACTTGGAGAGCCTGACAAACTACTGAGAGTATCCCTCCCGCATGGGCAGAGCCTGACAAGCTCCCCGTGGCGTATTCAATATGCCTAAACCAGCAACTATAACAGATCTCATCCCCCTGACCCCGAAAGAGCCTCCAGTCGTTGGGAAAGATGAGTAAGGAGAGGCTGCGAAAATCTCAGGGCTGGGAGGAATAGAGACGTTACTGGCGCCCGCTCAAGTACATTGACGAACAATGGGATGGCAATGATACAGTGATATGGTGCTACGCTTGGTTTCTTTGGTTTATTTATCACTTTTGCTTGTGGCTAACCCAGTTTTCCCAGGATGCTTTGCTGAAGAGACCGTCTTTGCCCCCCCTCCCCACACTCCCCCCTCCCCCAGCCTCTCTGTCCGTACATCTGAGGTTTCACGTCGGGGCCTCAGTTCTGTGCCCTTGGGCCCAGGGCCCCTTTCCTGTGTCACGCCCTTTTGATCACTGTGGCTGCAGTAACATATCACTGTCTCACTGTCATCCTGTTGTTCATCGATTGCCTCCAGCAGGCCCCAGTAACGTCTCCTTCGTCCTAGCCCTGAGATTTTAGAAAGGGCCACACTCGAGGCTCTTTCAGGGTCAGGGGAACGAGACCCATCATTGCAGTAACGTAAAGTCAGAAAATGCAGTTACCTCTGCATCTTGGTTTTGAGAGAGGAGTTTCGTGGTGCTCAGCTCGCATCTCTCGGGTGGGCCTAATGATGCGGCTGCGTGGCCAGGGCGAGGGTCCACGAGGGTCTCTCCACGTGCTCCTGGAGTGGAGAGCTTGGCTGATCTGATCAGACCCCAAAATCACAGGCGCGATCGCGCAGGACACAGGTGGCATCAGAGCCTCTGGCTTGGGCGTCCTCCGCACCTCCCCGCACACACACACACACACAGGCGGTAAAGTCACATTCAGCCATCTCAGCGCCCGCCGCCCTTCCTCCCGGGTGGGCTCTGCTGACACGGCCGTGGGCCCTCGGTGTCCCCGCAGGATGTACGATAAGATGTGGCACCAGACCCAGGAGGCCCTCAGCTCGCTGCTGGACCACGAGTCGGAGGTGATCGACCCGCACACCAACCAGGTCTTCATCTTCCAAACGCTGGCCACCTACTACATCAAGTACGTGCAGATCTTCCGGAACCTGGAGCACGTGTACGACCAGATCGTGCACCCCCAGAAGCGCCTGCTCATCCGGAAGGTGCTGGACGGGGTCATGGGCCGCATCCTGGAGCTGAAGAACGAGATGGTGGAGCTGGAGCTGAGCGAGTTCCATTATTTCGACGACATCCTGCAGGACCTCAAGCTGGAGCCCGTAAGTGCTCGGCCCGCCCTCTCGGTGGCTCTCCAGCCCGCGGGGGCAGCCGGCCAGCAGCTGCCGGACTCGCCGGACGCTCGGGCAGGGACTCACTGTACGGAGAGCTGAGTTTTTGTTTTCGGAAAGGGAGGATGTTGTGTTGGTTTGGGGCGGGGCTTTGGACCACAGCCCACGGTGCTCAGGGCTGACTCCTGCCTCTGTGCTCAGGGCTGACTCCTGGAGGGGGCTGGGGGCTCTCTGGGGTACTGGGGGTTGAAGCCAGCTCCGCTGCATGCAAAGCAAGCACCTTTCCTGCTACACTTTCTCTCCAGACCCTAGAGTGGTTTTATTGTAGCACTGTAGCGCTGTCTACAATGAAGCCACTCTCAGGCAGGCACCAGAAACATCTCCATTGTGAGACTTGTTGTTACTGTGTTTGGCATATCGAATACGCCCGGGGAGCTTGCCACGCTCTGCCATGCGGGCAGGATAGTCTCGGTAGCTTGCCAGGCTGTCCGAGAAGGACGGAGGACTCGAATCCGGGTTGGCCCCGTGCAAGGCAAACGCCCTACCTGCTGTGCTATCACTCCAGCTTGCGGTTTTATTGATTGAAAGAAATTTAGAGAAGGAAGAGGATAGAGAAGGGAGGAAGAGAGAAAGAGAGGGAGAGAGAGAGAGAGAGAGAGATGGAGAGAGAGGAGAGAGAGACATAGAGAGAGAGAGGGAGAGGGAGAGAGGAGAAAGAGAGAGGGAGAGAGGGCAAGGAAAAGAGGGAGGGAGAGAGAGGAGAGACAGAGAGACAGAGACAGAGAGAGATAGGGAGAGGAGAGAGACAGAGAGACAGAGAGAGAGGGAGGGAGAGGGAGAGAGGAGAAAGAGAGAGGGAGAGAGGGCAAGGAAAAGAGGGAGGGAGAGAGAGGAGAGACAGAGAGACAAAGAGAGACAGAGAGAGATAGGGAGAGGAGAGAGACAGAGAGAGAGAGAGGGAGAGGGAGAGAGGAGAAAGAGAGAGGGAGAGAGAGGAGAGACAGAGAGACAGAGAGAGACAGAGAGAGATAGGGAGAGGAGAGAGACAGAGACAGAAAGAGAGAGAGAGAGAATGTGTGTGTGTACTGACCCAGAGTGGACAAAGCCTCTTGAGTGAACAGATTAAACATGGTCCTTCCCCAGGTCACCTGCCGTGAGCAAAAGGTGGGCTCTCCTCCCTTTGGGCTCAGGGGGACCCTTGCTCATCTCAGAGTACTCGGGTACTTGCGTGCTCGGGTATGCGCCCACGGGTCCCGCTGGCCTGTCGGGGTCAAGTGCTGACACCCTGTGGTCCCGGCCCTCCCCGTGTCTCCGCACCTCTTTCCAAAAGAGGCTGCCCAGGTTTCCCGTCCGCGTTTCGGGGTGAACTGTGGGGTTCAGGGGTGCAGGTCCTATGCCCCGAGGCAGCACCCCTCCCCGGATGAGCAGTGACCTTGGCCATGGCAGAGTGTCCTGGGCTTCTGAACCGAAGGAGTCCCTCTGTCCACGCCTCTGCTGCCAGCGGACCCTCGGTCCTGCGTTTGGCTGGCAGCAGCTGTTTGGACAGTCAGACCCACCCACCCCCAGCACAGTTGAGTGGTTTAGGGGTACACAGCCTGGTGGCACCCCTCAGTCCTTCCCGGGGAGATACCGGGAACCAGGGTGCAGAGGGTTGAGTCCCTTGCAGGAGTCTGAACCTAGAGTGGCCCGAGAATGGGCAGAGCTGGCACCTGGGCTGTGCACACACCATGTACACACAGGAGGACAGCCCTGGAAAGAGTGAGGGAGCCAGGGAGCGCATATGCTGTGTACATGCAGGGAGAAGGCTCTGGAGAGAGTGAGGGAGTCAGGGACAATGCTTCCCTCCCATTCTTAGAGTTTTGCCTGTCGATGTTGCGTCTTAAAGACGCCGAGTGGGGCCAGGCCAGTGGAGTTTGTCAGAAGCCAGAAGCTTGGCCGTGCTTATTCACACATAAAACCACACATTAGATAAAAGTGGCTCTTTTCCTCGGAGCACTCCCAGCCCCAGCCCACACCCACCTGCACGTCCCGGGAAACTCAGGCTCAGACTCCCCCCATACACTCCACCAACCTTGGAAAGTTTTTTTTTTTCATTTTCAGACATGTTATTCACCTTCCAGATATTGGGGGGCCCATTCTGACAAGTCCCGAGAAGACACACCCTTATACGATATTTATAATGAAGAGCCAGTTCTGAATTTCCTGCCCTGAAGAGGGGCAAAGGGACAGCCTAGAGCAGAGCCAGCAGGGACCAAGTCCAGGGCTGGGACTGCTGTTTCTTCGGCCAACTGGTCTACCCAGTGGGCAGCCCGGAAATGAGCAACAGAGTCTGGGATGAAGTTCCTCGGTGGGGCTAGCCTCAGGCCACCCGGGGCTTCGAATAATGGCTGAACTGGGAGGGAAAAATAAGTTTTGTAAATGGTTTTGTGATGGGGTAGTTCAGGTAAAAATAAAAGCCAAATTATTAGGAAAACTCATCATAGAAATATGGTGCTGATAATTTGGTGCTAAGGTCTGTGATAGCACAGCGGTAGGGCGTTTGCCTTGCACGCAGCCAACATGGCCGACCCGAGTTCGATTCCTCCGCCCCTCTCGGAGAGCCCGGCAAGCTACCGAGAGTATCTCGCCCACACGGCAGAGCCTGGCAAGCTCCCCGTGACAGATTCGATATGCCAGACACAGTAACAACAAAGTCTCCAATGGAGACGTTACTGGGCCCGCTCGAGCAAATCGATGATCAACGGGAGGGCAAGGTCTCTGAAGCTCAGAGTTTTGCTGTGTAGATGATTTGATAGTCTTTTTTTAAAAAAATCTTTAATTTTTCTAAGTGAATAATACATATTGGAGTTTACATGGAATTGGTAAGGCCTACATATGTAAATTTTCCCCTTACACTTTATATGAACATCGTGGCTTACAAAGTTCTTCTTGATGATTTGTTACAGGCATTCAGTATTCCAACCCCAATCCCACCACCAGGACACCTTCCCTCCACCACTGTCTCCAGTTTTCCCAACCACCCCTTAAGCCTGCCCCCATCGCAGGCGCTCAATAATTTATTTTCTGTTGCTTGTTATCAATAATTTGCTAACAGATTGATCAAAAAATGTATCCTTAGAAGAACGTTAGTGAAGATGGTTCTATCTCACCATGGAGCCAGTAAGTCCTTGTAGAAGAGATTACTAAGATGTTGCTACAGGCTAAGCCTTCTGCATTTATGTTTCGTTAATCGAGATTGGTGGCCTTCTACATTACATCCCATCCAATCTGCGTGCTACGACTTGTTTATCAGTGTTGTAGAGCTTGAGATGTCCGGGAAGTCTGGATATTTTTCCCTTTTTTTCTTTTTTTTCTTTTTGGGTCACACTTGGTGGTGCTCAGGGGTTACTACTGGCTCTGCACTCAGGAATTACTCCTGGAGGTACTTGGGGGACCATATGGGATGCTGGGTATCGAATCTGGGTTGGCCGCGTGCAAGGCCCTACCCGCTGTGCCGTGCTATCACTCCAGCCTCAGTCTGGAATTTTTAAAGGAGTGATACAGGTGGAGTTAAATTTTTAACTGGGTCGCAATGTTGGGGGGTGTGTGTGTGTGCGTGACTGCCGGGGCTTCCAGAAGTACAGAAAGATGGGGGGGAGGTAGCCCATCCCGACTGTGAACGCCTGGAGATTTCAGTCACAAAACCCACATACCTGAATTTTTCAGCAGATTAATTTTGGGGTGAGGCTGGTCCTGAGAGGCAGGGGAGTCCGGCCCGGGGCATGGCTACGATTGTGAAGTGTGAGAGCTTTTGGCTCTATTTGGACAGGCACTGGGCTGACCCGCCCCCCTCTGGGATGCCCTGGTTGACTCAGCCATGCGCAGGTTTGGAAGAGATGTTTTTTTTTTCTTTTTGGGTCACACCCGGCGATGCTCAGGGGTTCTTCCTGGCTCTGCACTCAGGAATTACCCTGGCGGTGCTCAGGGGACCCTATGGGATGCTGGGAATCGAACCCGGGTCGCCCTATGAGCTGTGCTATCACTCCAGCCCTGGAAGAGATGGTTTGATGTTCTCCCGTGTGTTTCTCTTTCAGAGAAGATGAATGGCACCATCGCATAGCTAAAGCAACTCCCATGAATGGCTGGGCTGGGCCGTGATGATTCAGACACGGGGTGTTGTAGGATTTGCCCTTGGTCTCCTTAGCAGTAGTGACCCCCTGCCTCCCTGGCCGGCCCGTGGCTTGGCTGAGGCGAGGCGGGAAGCAGAACTGGGGGTGCTCTGGCAGGTTCTGACTGGACTGAGGTCCTGGAAGCGTGACCCAAATCGTGTTCTGTTTTCTCTCCTTTTTCTTCAGCAACAATTAGACATTCCCATCCCCAAGTATTTCATGAAGGAAAAGATGGAGGCCATCAAGGCGAGAGAGAAGATGCTGGCCCAGATCCTGGCCGAGTCTGGGCTGATGACCCCTGACCTGGTGAGTTGGTGTTGGTCTCCACTGTCCCTCGTGTGTGAGAGGCCACGAGACGCCCTCCCTGCGAGGGGACAGCGCCCCCCCCCCAGCCCCGAACCCTGCCATCCCACTACTCAGCAGGGGAGAGTTAGTGTGTTCTGGCGCCGTGGGGGCTGGTGTGTCTCCCTGGGACGCGGCTGAGGTCGGGGGGCTCCTTCCTCCCTGGGCGACGTTTCTGCTCACTCACCTCAAGTCCACCTGCTGGGCCCGAGACTGTCCCTGTCATCTGCCGCAGGGCCAAGCCAGCTCCCAGGAGCCCCAAGTGGCTCCACTTGACTCATGGCAGACCTGGCCAGCAGGGGTGGGGGGACGTCCACCTGTGGCCGTAACAGGCCACAAGACCCCGAGGGCTGGGCCACGGGCACAGACACAGGAGTGTCGCCCGCCCTGCTGTCTCTGCCTGGGCCTTTTGCCCACAGTGATGTTCTAACTGTCCACAGAGCGTCATGGCCCAGGCAAACAAAGCTTCCCACTCCTTGGGTGACACCTGGACCCCTGGCAGGGAGAGGGGTGGGGGTGGGAGGGAACATTAGGGATGTGTGTCCCCCAGAGCTGGTGGGACTACGCAGCTCTCAGGGCTCCTGCCCTGGCACCAGTGCCAGGAATCTCTCGGCCTCCCCTGGCCTCCCTCGTCCTCCACCAGCCTCTCTCTGCCTCCCCAGCTGCTCCCTTCTCTTCCAGCCCCTTCCCGGGCACCGCTGCGGCCCCTGCGCCCAAGAGTTGGCTCTTCACCAGGCTGCCCAGTTGGGCACCAGCCCGGCCCTGGGCCAGCCCCACCCTATGCTGCTGCAGTCTGTGGGTGCCCACCCGGTGGCACGCTAGGTCCTAGGGTTCTGGGTGCGGGCAGGCGGCTGGCCTTCCAGGTGGCCCGTGGGGCTCTCAGGGGCCTTCACTTGGCACAAACATGGGTCCGAGCCCAGGCCTCATCCAAGCATCAGTGACGTGAGCCTTCCCTGGCCCCTCTCCCGGGGGGCTCGCACCAGCCCTGCCCAGCAGTCCCCCTGGAGGAGTGCGGGGGGACGGAGACGCGGGCAGCGGGGCGGGGGGGCTGAGATGTCCTCTGCTTCTCCTTGCCGGAGCCTGTGGGGCTCCTGTGCGCCCCCCGCGCTGTGCGTCCCCTTGGGCCCAAGCCTTTCCCTGCCATCTGGGGGCTTCCATGTTGCCCTTCAGGGTCCCCCACCTCCGTGTTGCCACTTCCTCAGCACACACAACAGACCTCACGGAGGTTCTCAGGGAACGCTGCATCTCCCGACCCCGGCATCGAGCCCGGGGCCACCAGACAAGGTGGCCCAGCCCTCGGCCAGCACTGCCCAGGGCTCTGGGAACTGCCTGTGACCACAAGGCCGCAGGGGAGGGCACCCCGGACCAGCAGAGCCCACGCCCTCACACTGCCCAGCCCGGGCACTCACAGGGCCCCTGGGGACCCCAACTCTGCTAGGGTCAGGCTGGCGCCCCCCCTGGCTAGGGGTCCGCCTGGGGCCCTGGAGTATGGGTGGGTGTTCATGGAGGCGACCCGGATGGCCAGCTCCCAGCCCTTTCTTGGGACTGTCCACTTCCACCCCTCCTCTGGGTACCCTGGCGCCCCTGGTGACTTGGCTGGCACGGGGCCTTTCTGAGTACAGCACCCTCCTGTGCCCACCGAGTGGCACCCGCCTTCCCCCTCAGCCCTCAGAAGGACCCCGGGCTGCTTTGTCTCCCTTCACACTTGCTTTTTTTTTTTTGAGATATAACAACTTTTTTTTTTTTCCACTGTCACTGTATCACTGTCATCCCGTTATTCTTTCGATTTGCTCGAGCGGGCACCAGTAACATCTGCATTCCTCCCAGCCCTGAGATTTTAGCAGCCTCTCCTGACTCGTCCTTCCCAACGGTGCCGCATTGGAGGTTCTTTCAGGGTCAGGGGAATGAGACCCATCATTGTTACTGTTTTTGGCACGTCGAATATGCCACAGGAGCTTGCCAGGCTCTGCCGTGCAGGCAGGATACTCTCGGTAGCTTGCCGGGTTCTCCGAGAGGGAGAATTAGACTATAAGAGGTCGTGCTTTCGTGAGCTTTGTTCTATAGTCTCTGGATCTCGGCCTAGAGGTTTTGTTTTTTTTTTTGTTTTTGTTTTTTAATGCATCACTGTGAGATGCAGTTACAGATGTACAAGCTTCGGTGATTACGTTTCAGTCATCCAATGATCGAGTACCCATCCCTCCACCAGTGCCCATTCTCCACCCCCAATGTCCCGGTGTCCCTCCTGCCACCCCCACCCCCAACCCTCCCCCCACTTCTGTGGCAGATGCATCACACGCTGCTCTTGGGGGCTCTGAAGACAATATTCTGCTTTCTCACAACACTCCCCGTCCGTCACACGTGAGGTTTGGAAATGCAAGCTTGGATGTGTGGAAAGACACTTCCTGCGCGAAGATCAGCCCCCGCCACCCAACCCCCACTAACTTCGACTTTGGTCCAGTTCACTGGGTTAGTTCTGGGATGGGTTTCAAAGCCACGTGCCGTGGCAAACATGTCAAGATCTTACATTTGAGATGCGGGTTTAATGTCTACCGCTGGGCTAGTGAAACCTTCCCTGGTTCCAGCTGGATCGAATCGTTTGCTTCACCTGCCTGGTATAGCTGCTGCGAAAGGAACCATCGCGGTGCCAATCAGTGCTTTGTGGGCTGGAGCGATAGCACAGCGGGGAGGGCATTTGCCTTGCATGACACCAGCCCGGGGTTCGATTCCCAGCATCCCATAGGGTCCCCCGAGCACTGCCAGGAGTAATTCCTGGGTGCAGAGCCAGGAGGAACCCCTGTGCATCGCCGGGTGTGACCCAAAAAGCAAAAAAAAAAAAATTAATTAACTAATTAAAATAATTAGTGCTTTGTTTCAGAGCAGAGAACAAAGCGCATTGGGCCCTCCGACACGGGCAGCCCTCACGCCCCATCACAGCCGGGGCGCCCCGAGCGGGCAAGAAAACATGGCCGTGGGGTTTTGGGGTGAACCACTGACGGGGCTCCCCTGCCGTCCCTCAGGCCCTGTCTGCCAAGACCATCCCCCTGGAGAAGGCCGTGAAGCTGGTCCAGTTGGCGGAGAGGATGCGGCAGGGCCGGCTGCGGGCCATGTTCATGAAGCAGATCTTCCTCCAAGAGTACCGCGCCAGGCAGGCCAAGCTCCTGGGCGAGAAGACCGTGGACCTGGGGGCCGCGGCGCTCCTCATCCAGAAGGTGCTCCTGGGGTTCCTCTGAGGGGTCCGGGCGGCCTGACAGCTCGAGACACCTCCCGGGGCCGGGGGCGGGTCTGCTCCCAGGCTCTCCCTACTGCATCAGATCTCCCTGATAATGCAGTGATCACCGGCTCTCCAGGCAGGGTCACACAGGGAAAGGGAACTGGCCTCCGGAACGCCCTTCCGGCTGCCGCTTGGTGTAAACAGAAGGCGCCAACAGCCCGGTGCCTCCCTTCCAACTGCGATGCTCCTGGTTCTTCTCTTGCCTAACTGCTCGGCTCAGGACCACCGCCGTGTGCCTGGGTGTGGCGGAGGGGCCGCCAGTCTCGCCCAGATCGTCCAGGAAGGGTTCCAGCCAGTGAGCTGGTGCTGAGGGCTGACCCCGCCCCAGCCAGCTTCCCCAGAGCTGTGCGTCGGGGATGTGTTGGATCCTGTTGGGTGCTTTCGCAGAGTGCTTTGCCTCCCGGAGGACCTCCTTCCTGATCTTTGTCTTTGTGTGAAGTCTGATAGATCCCGGTTATTCCCGTCAGCCACTCCGGCACACCCACGAGCAACCCAGCTCGCACCCGGGGCTGTTGAAGCCAGCAGGCTCGTGCTTGAGGAGAGACATTTTGCTTCTCTGTTGACTGTCCATCGCCTCGTTTTCTATGCAGTGACCACCCGGCTTCCCAGCGAGGTCGTGCTGGTTTCATAAAGCAAATTGGGGATGTTCCTTCCTCTTCAGTTTTGGGGGAGGGTTTTAGATGCATTGGTATTAATTCTTCTTTTTTTTTAATTCTTTTCTTTTTATGGAAAAGAAGATTTTATTGGATTGTATTTATTTATGGAAAAGATTTTATTTATTTATGGAAAAATAGAGATTTTATTAATTTAAAATATTACATATATCTAATAATCCATAATTAAATTTTTCCTTCTTATTGAAAACCCATTTTACTCTGAGGCTATTATATGAATCAAGAACAAACTTTTTTTTCTTACATCTCCTACACAAAAACTAAAGACAAATTTAAATTCGCACAGTCAGTGAAATGGCATGTTTACAAACCGGATTTCTGGCTACGCATCTTTTGTTTTGTTTTTGAAGTTATTGTAATATAAATTTTATTTTTATTTTATTTTTTGGGGGGGGCCTGGAGCGATAGCACATTGGTAGGGCGTTTGCCTTGCACGCAGCCGACCCGGCTGACCCAGGTTCGATTCCTCCGCCCCTCTCGGAGAGCCCTGGCAAGCTACCGAGAGTATCTCGCCTGCACGGCAAAGCCTGGCAAGCTCCCCGTGACGTACTCGATATGCCAAACACAGTAACAACAAGTCTCACAATGGACACGTTACTGGGCCCGCTCGAGCAACTCGATGAACAACGGGGGAACATTGCTGCAGTGCTACCATTGGTGGAACTCCCGGGAAAGCCATCTCGTCTACCTGTTAAGTTCCACAGAACTCATTTCAGTTTGCTGCTTTGTGGGTGTCTGGTTACTCTCAGCGGCCTCTGGAGATCCCGAGTGTTTCTTGGTGTCAATTGGAACTTCTCTCCTTGCACTTAGAATCTGATTTGCAGGCTCCCTCTCTGCCTGCCAGTGTCCATAGCGGCTTGTTGATGTTTATTTTTACAAAACAGCTCTTGGGTGTTGTTTTCCTTATTGACCTACTAGTCTTTAAATTGTATTTATTTCTCCTCTGACCTTAATGATTTTCTACGTTCTGTTTTTTTTTTCTTTTTCGCTCTGTGGCGTGTAAGTTTTTTTTTTTTTTTTTTTTTTTTTGCTTTTTCAGACATAGTTTTGAATGAGCTTTTTTGTTGCTATCAACATCTCGCAAGGAACCATTCTTACCGCATCCCCTGCATTTTGATGTTTTCCTTTTGACTTGCCTCTGACACTTCTCACTGGGTTCTTTGCCCTGTTGGTGGTGTGTAAAAAACTATGCACGCAGAAGGTTGTGTGTTCGCGGGCTCTCTGGACGGCTCTATCTCACCGCCCGCGTTCGGTGCCCTAGAGCGTTCGGTGTGTGGCCTGCATCGGGACGGCTGTTGGCCAAGTGCAGATGAAGGAAGAGACCAGGGCCAGGCCGGTTGATCTTAGTGGCAGTTTATTACAAGGAAGTTTATCCCATAGAAGAACTTATGTTGTGGAGGGCCTAGGTTCTCTCAAGCACATGTTCCCCTTGCTAGTCTCTCGGTAGTCCATCTTTCAGCCCTGCTCTCTCCTTCCTCAGCTCCCTTCTCGTCTGGCTGACACTCCACCCAGTCAGGTAGCCAAATCAACATAAGAAAGCCCTTCCTGACTGCTCAAGGGCAAGATACCTCTTCAGGTGTTTTTCTTTTTTCCTCAGTCCAATAAACTATCAACTATTCCTGAGGTTATGCAGGAAGGACAGAACAGTGTTATCCTACATCGGTGGTCCAGGGTGTGTTGTCAAATTTTCATGTGTTGACGGATTTCTAGTGTTCGTGACTCGTGTGATCTGGAATCTACTTGATAAGATTTCAGTCTCCTTCTCCTTGTTGACACCTGCTCTGTGCGATAGCACAGCGGGGAGGGTGTTTGCCTTGTACGCAGCCGACCCGGGTTCGATCCCCAGCATCCCATATGGTTCTCCCTTGAGCACCACCGGGAGTAATTCCTGAGTGCAGAGCCAGGAGGGACCCCTGTGCATCGCCGGGTGTGAACCAAAAAGCCAAAAAAAAACAAAAAACAAAAAACCCTGCTCTGTGGTCCAGTATATGATCTCTGCTGGAGAATGTTGTGAACACACTTTATGCATATTCTAGTACTGTGAGATGGTCCGAGTGTGTCTTGTCAGGCCCTTTTGGTCTGAAGTTGGTTCAGGCCGGCTGTTACTTCTGTCTCGCTGACCCACGCCACGCTGAGGCGAGAATTGAAGCCCCCGACTTGCCGTGTTACTTTCTCCCTCCAATCCCGTTACTGCTTACTTTAAATATTTTGGCGGTTCAGTGTAGACCCCATAACTGAGGACAGATGTATCCTATGACGCATTTGTCACTCTCCTGTGACCTTCTTTGTCTCCTGGGGCCGGTCTGCCCAGGGAGCTGCCCCGTCCTCCTCAGTGACCATTTGCAGGTAAAGCTTTTTCTATCCTTTAACCTTCCAACCTATGTGTACTCTCAAAGTTAAAAAATATCACGGAGGGGCTGGAGCGATAGCACAGCGGGGAGGGCGTTTGCCTTGCACGCGGCTGAACCGGGTTCGATTCCCAGCATCCCTTAGGGTTCCCTGAGCACCGTCAGGAGTGATTCCTGAGTGCAGAGCCAGGAGGAACCCCTGTGCATCGCCAGGTGTGACCCAGAAAGAAAAAAAAAATATCATGGAGGCAGCGTGCAGTTGGAGTTTGCCCGATTTATTCATCCAGTGACAGTCTTTTGACCGGGTAATTTAGTCCATTTACCTTCAAAGTAACGATTAGGTGAAGACTTACAATGTCCATTTAACTTGCCAATTCCTGGCCCCCTAGTTTGGGAGTTTGTGTTTTCATCTCTGGCTGTCTCCTTTGTGATTTATTTTTGTAGTGATGTCCTTAGATCTCTATCTAGTGAGCGAAGACAGACAGACATCTCTGTCTCTGCCAGAAGCTTTCTTTTTTTCCTTTTTTGGTCACACCTGGCAATGCACAGGGGTTCCTCCTGGCTCTGCACTTAGGAATTATTCGGTGGTGCTCGGGGAACCCTATGGGATGCTGGGGGTATCGAACCCAGGTCGGCCACGTGCAAGGCAAACGCCCTCCCCGCTGTGCTATCACTCCAGCCTCTAGAACGTTCTTTTTTATATATATATATAATTTATTTATTTATTGAATCACTGAGGGAAAAGTTACAGAGCTTTCAGGCTTAGGTCTCAGTCATGCAAATATCAAACACATTTCCCTTCACCAATACTTATTTTTAACCGCGAACCCCAATAGAACCCCACCTCCCACCCCTCCCAATGCCTGTGAGGCAGATGAGTTCTAGTTAACACTCTATCCACTTTGACTAGATTCATTGTTTCGATAAAAGATGCACCATTATTATTTAGAGTTTACCCCCCCACACCCAAATCGGACATGCTGAAAAAACGCTGTGAAATAATTTGCTTTCTACAGCTGGGTTCAAGAATTAAATGTTGGTTTTGGATTTCCGCTATTTTACTAATTAACCCTGGAAGTAGTTCTACTGAAAGTCAGATAATTAAGAGATTGGTCTCTGTGCTTCTGGGGCTGTGGCCGTGCCGGAGAGCCGCTCGTGGGGGGCAACTGATGGCCTCGGTACGGCGTGAAGGGCGGACCGAAACACCCCCCTTCCCATGAGGTTTTAGTCGCCCCCACACCCCTGGCTCATACCTGCTGTCCACAAGGCTCCCATGCGGCCACATCTTTCTTTCCAGAGAGGAGAGGGCGAATGGGGCAACACCCTTTCCCCTCCGGGCAGGCATGTCTTTTTTTTTTTTTTAATTTTTTATTTATTGAACCACCGTGAGAAGAGCCACAAAGCTTTCCAGTTTAAGTCTCGGCCATACAATGATCAAACACCCATCCCTTCCTTCATGCGAATATATATTTACCTTTTCGAATGAGTTTGACATTTTTATCTGCCTCATCTTGGCACCCTTTCACTTCATATATAGGGATTCCTTTTCACATTCCTTGGGAGGTCGTGAGCATTTGTTTAGAGACAGCCTCAATCTCCCCGGCTGTCAGGGACAGCTTTGCAGCTAGGTTCTTTGTTGGCGGTTGTTTTTTTCACTCCAGGATTTGAAGAGATCCCCCGCATTCCCACCTGGGAACTAAGCTCATCACTGACAGCCGTGGGGGAGGGGCCCGCTGCTCCGTGGCTCCCAGAATTCTCCGTTTTTCACACGTTGGTGACAGCGTGCCTTGGGGTGGTTCCATGGGGCCCCTTGAGCTCTACACACCTGGATATCCCTGTGGCCCCAAACCAGGGTGTTGTCAGCTATTATCTGTCATCATGCAGGGCTCCCTGGTGGCCTTCCTTCAGTTCCCCACCCCTCCCCCCCACTTGCCCCTTTAATTGACTCACTGCAAATGGCTTGTCTTTGGAGTCCTGGGGTACTTTTTTTCCTTTTTGGGTCACACCCAGCGATGCTCAGGGGTTCCTACTGGCTCATGCACTCAGGAATCACTCCTGGCAGTGCTCAGGGGACCAAATGGGATGCTGGGAATCGAACCCGGGTCGGCCGCGTGCAAGGCAAACGCCCTCCCCGCCGTGCGATCGCTCCCGCCCCTCCCAGAGTATTTTGCACCATCGGTTTTATTACTGACACCGTTGAGTCTTTCGCATTCCTTCATCGTTCATCCCGACCTGAGGTTCTGTTTGCTCCTTGGTCATTTCCGTCCGTCTTTGCAGTAACTTGTCGCTCTGCCCACGACTCTTTCCCCCACGCACCTCTTGTGCCCGGCTGAGTCTCTTTAGCCGATCCTTCGGGATGCTGGGCAGGTGACTTGCAGCTGTCCATTTCCTTGTGGTCAGTTACCGGACTCTTTACAGACTCTTTGTTGGCGTCCCGTTTTCTGGGACCCCGTGCAGCCAGTTTCGCCGGCCTTGGCGTCTTCCCTTTGGAGTAGATCACACTCCTGGCTCTTGAGCTGGTTCTGGCCGGTCACCATCCTCGAACCTTGGTCACCCCCAGTCACCTCCAGATCACAGGTCACAGGCGTTTTGCAGGCCCCACGTGGAGTCTGAGTTGGCAAGGCTGCACCAGGGCGAGCATGGGCTCGGCTCTGCCTGTTCCCTGTGTGGACAGGGTGGCCTTGGGACATTTTCATTCTTTCTCTGAAGAGTTTTGCTTGTGCTCACGGAAGAAAAATGTTCCCCATCCACAGACAACCCATGACCTTGGCCAGAGTCATCTTAACTGTAGGATATGAAGCCCCAGCAGGAGTCGGGAAACCGTCTTTTAGGTTAATGCATCAAAAAAAAAAAAAAAAAAGGAACCGTCAGGGCTGCAGCGATGGCACAGTGGGGAGGGCATTTGCCTTGCACGCAGCCGACCTGGGTTCAATTCCCAGCATCCCATAGGGTCCCCCGAGCACCACCAGGAGTAATTCCTGAGTGCAGAGTCAGGAGTAACCACTGCGCATAGCCAGGTGTGACCCAAAAAGAAAAAAAACAATTTTTTAAAAAAGGAACTGTCTACTTTGTTTTTAGATTTGGCGAGGTTTCAACCAAAGCAAGAAGACTATTCAAGAGCGGGAAGAAGAGATGATATTTCTGGGGATGGTGAGTCTCCCCGGGGTCATGGGGTTTCCTGGGAGACACTGGGTGCCCCAAGATGTGTCTTTCCTGGGGGCTTTAAAAAAATAACTTTATTCAGTCATCAGACATTAATTACAGACATCCAGTATTCCAACACCAATCTCACCACTACTGCGCCATCCCAACGCCGCCATTTCCAATTTTCCTTTCATCCCCTAAGCCTTCCCGGGGGCATTTTATTTTATTTTTTTTTATTAGTGAAACACCACGAGGTACAGTTGTAGACTTACAAATTTTTGTCCTTGGGTTTCAGTTATACAATGATCAAGTCCCCATCCCTCCACCAGCACCCATCCTCCACCACCACAGTCCCACCATCCCTCCCACCCCCCATCCCCCCATCTCACCCTGCCTCTTTTTGAGGGCAGAAAGAGTGAAAGGGCCAGTGGCCTGGCGTCTGGAATGGCCTGCCCCACACGGTGGCTTCCCTGGGCCCCGAGGACAGGGACTGTCCCTCCATCTCCATCCTCATGGTCAGATGTCCCCTGCAGGAATGAGTTCTGGGGGCTCATGCCCGGGTCCTGGCTCCGTCTGGGTGCCCAGTGCAGGGTGCAGTGGGGGTGGCCGGGAAACGGCTGACCATGTTCCCACAGACCTGACTCCTGAGCACCACCTCTCTGTCTCCTCTTTCCCGTGGGTCAGGGTGGACGCTGAGCCTTATGGGCCATCCTGGCTCTCAGCCAAGCCTCGGGGGACCCCCGCCCTGGTGCTGCGCTGGCGTGTGGTGGGGGTGGGTGGCCTCAGTGTGTGATGCAGCCGCGGGTAGCAGGGGACACTCCGCTCTAGCCCTGTGGGACGTGCCACCGGGTCACTTGGCCCTTCAGAGTGGAAAGGGGCAGGGGACAGGTCCCAGCATGACCCCCCAGCACCTCGGCCCTCTCGTGGTTGGTGCTAGTGGACAGGTTAGGCCGCACCCCGGCCCCTAACTCAAGCAGAGACAACTGGAGGTAGTGGGGAGAACGGTGGGGGGCATCCTGGGGCCACCAAAGTCTCTGTGTCCTTATATTTTGTGATTGTGTAAGATGCTGTAACCCCAACCCCCACCACACAGATATACACACATACGTACAGACATACACTTACACGCACAGGCAGAGACACACACACAGACATAGACACACAGAGATACACACATATACATACACACAAGCACAGGCAGAGACACACGCATACACACAGACAAAGACACACAGACACACAGAGATACACACATACACATATACATACACACAGAACACAGGCATAGACACACAGACACACAAAGACACACAGAGATACACACATACACATATACATATACACACAAGCACAGTGAGACACACACATACACACACACACACACACACACACATATATGCACACACATCACCTGTGTAATCGCAGACTCGGACCCCTCTGGACTGCAGGTACCATCTGGGCCGGGACCCTCCGGCACCCTGGGTGGACCCCAGTCCCCCCTTCCAGCGCCCAGAGGTCAGGGTGGGCATTGCAGTGTGTAAAACCCGGGCACGTTGCCCAGTCAGCCAGTGTCTTGGATTTCTTTGCTGGGAAAAACTACAGGAGACGGGGAGCAAGGTGTGGGCAGAGGCTTCCTGCCCCTTGGGGCTGCGATCTGGAGGGAGACCAGCCCCTGTGCATTGTGGGAGCGATGGGCAGAGTCTGTGCCAGGTTTGACGATGCCACTGCTCATAACCCTTCTACAGTGAAGAGGAATTTTGCGTTGGAAATGACACCCAGAATGCACATTCTAAGCTTAAACGGCAGGAGGAAGAGAGCCCGTCACTTAAGCCATTTGTAGCTCTTTTTTTTTTTTTGCTTTTTGGGTCACACCCGGCAATGCACAGGGGTCACTCCTGGCTCTGCGCTCAGGAATCACCCCTGGCAGTGCTCAAGGGACCATATGGGATGCTGGGAATCGAACCCGGGTCAGCCGCGCGCAAGGCAATCACCCTACCCGCTGTGCTATCGCTCCAGCCCCAGCCATTTGTAGGTCTTTACATTGAAGGTTTAAACCAAGCAGTTAATCCCCCTGCTTCTCAGAGACTTGTATCTCAACAGGACAAAAGGATTCAGAATTTTTTTTTTTTTTTTGCTTCTATCTGTCATAGGAAATCTGCTTAGAGAATAAGATAAGTGGGAAGACACAGATGCCTGAGGCCGGAGAGATAGTCCAGCTGGGAGGTCACTTGATTTTAGACATGCCCGGTCTAGGTTTGATCGCTGGTACCCATGGGGTCCCCCAAGCCTGCCAGGAATGATCCCTGAGCACAGAGACAGAGCGAGCCCTGGCGACAGCTCGCGCCCTCCCCCGCAAGAATATACCTACTTACTGACATAGGACCACCAATTTTTATTATGGTTTCCTTTTACATTTTCTTTCCTGATATCTCTGGCTCAATTCCTGCAGCAAGAAGTCAGGGTCACCTGTGTGTGGTCATGCCAAGAGCAGGCGGGCGGCTGCAGAGAGCAGCAGGGCCCAGGCACAACCAAATACAGAAGCTGATACGTCTTTATTGGGAGGGGTGTTTGGGCCACACCCAGCAGTGCTCAGGGCTCACTTGTGGTCCTGCACGCAGGGATCACTCCTGGCCATGCTTGGGGGACCTTCTGGGGTGCCAGGGATGGAATCGGGGTGTAGGCTGCATGCAAGGCAAGAGTCCACAGGGCTTTCTCTCCAGCCCTGAACAGAACACTTAAGCCCCATTTTCTTTTTCTTTCTTTCTTTCTTTCTTTCTTTTTTTTTTTTTTTTTGTGACGTTGTGGCCACAACTGGTGATGTTCAGGGCTTACTCCTGGTTCTGCATTCAGGAATTAATTCTGGAGGTGCCTGGGGGACCATATGGAATGCTAAGGATGAAACCCAGGCTGGCGACGTGCAAAGACCAGCGCCCTCCCCGCTGTGCTATCGTTCCAGCCCTAAGCCCCGTCTTCTTAAGTCTCTTGAACACAAATGCAAACATTGCTTTATCGGAGATTTCAGGATTTCAGGGCATAAAGTCGAGTCCTGCTGGCGATATTCGGACATACAGAACGTCTGAAATGTCACTCTCTGTTCAGGGAAGTGACACGTAATTTCCATCTGTCTTTGAACTGCACGTTGCGCAGGACAGAGGCCATGGGCGTGCCTGTCTTTCTGGAGCGGCAGGCATTGTCTTGGCCCCGTGTCATCGGCCTGTGTCATCGGCCTGTGTCAGCAAGAACTGAAAGCCAGAATGATTTTGCTTGATGGAGGGATTCAGCCCTGCTTTCTGGAGGCTTGAAGAGCGTTTTTTCCTGACAGAGGGGCATGATATCATGCACACGTGTCTGCAGAATCTCCACTGTGATGTGCAGACCGTGGTGTCTTAAACTTGGTAGTAATTCCCAGCAGCCGCCGAGGGAATTAGGAAAGACTCCGACTTTTTATGAGGCTAACCTCGCTCTGATGCCAGGAACCAGCCAGGATATCACACAAACAGAAAACTAGAGACCAATATTCCCAGTGAACAGAGATGCAGAAATCCTCAACAAAACCTCAGTGAACCGTAGCCCACAGTTTGTTGACAGGATCACGTACCAGGACTGAGTGGGATTTTCTCCGACTTATCTGCATCAGTCAGTGTGATACAGACATTGGCAAAAGGGAAAATAAAACTCATCTGCTCGTATCTATCGATGCCAGAAAGGGCTTTGATAAGATTCAACATGCGTTTATGATTTTCTAAAAACTCCACAGGATTGGGATGAAAGGAACATACTTCACGTAGAGAGGTTTGTTTACGACAAGCACAGCGGTGAATGGTGAAGGCTGAGCGTTTTCCCTCTCAGGTGGGGAGGGGACAGAGATGTCCACTCTCGCCCCAAGCCCAGCACACTCTTGAAAGTCCTCGCCAGAGCAGTTTGGCAAGAAAATGAAAATAATGCACAAATTGGAAAGGAAGTCAAACTATCATTACTTACAGATGACAAGATAAAACACACGGAAAGCCCTAAAGAGTCCACTAAAAAGTATTTTTTAAGAACTCAGGACAGTAAAGTTGCAACCTAGAAAATCGGTATATAAAAATCTTCCAGGTTTTATATGCCAGCAGGGAACTGGAAGAGCTCAGTTATAATTCCATAAAAAAAAAAAAAAAAGAAGAAAAACTTAACCAAGGAAAAACACATAGACAACAAAAAACTTGACCACATACTTAAAGAGAAAAGCTAGCAAGAAAAGACATGTTAGGGATGGAAGCAGAGACAGCCCATGTTAGGGTCAAACGCAGTGACAGTCCATGTTAGGCTCGGAAACAATAATGTTTTTCTGAATGGGCGTCTTACCATGGTTGTCACAATATACACAATATGATAGATGTTTAGCGAAACATCTATCAAAATTCCCATGGCAATCTTTAAAGAAACGGAACATTATTGAAGACTTAGGGAAACCTACAGCCCCCAAGAGGCAAAACAAAAAAATCTCAAAACTTAAAGCAGAACGGAGGGGTAACCCTCCCTGGGCTCCAACTATACACCAAGGCTGCAGTCACCAAACAGTATGGCAGTGGACATCAAGTTGACAGAGCTCCAGCGGCAGAGAACTGAGGGATCCCAGATAAACCTACACTTAGACCGACACTTAATTTGTGATGACAGAGCCAAGGTCCTAGGACAGAGACAGGAAAAGCCTCCCGCTAAAATGGGGCTGGGAAAACGACACGAAGCCAGACACAAAACCAATGAATCTGTCTCAGGCCACACACACACACACACACAATTCAGCTCAGCGTGGTTTAAGGACTCGGATGTGGGGCATGCTTGGGGGCTCTGTCAACTTGATGTCCACTGCTGGGCTCAGGGACTCGAACCCGGGCTGACTGGGTCCCAGGCCAGCGTCTTCCCCTCTCCCTTGTTGTTCTGCCCGAATCCCTGGATTCCGAGCCCAGAGCTGAGATGGCTCCCCAAGGGGGCAGGAGGTCCTTAAATGGGAGCGTGACACTGGG